GCACAATGTCTCTGGGATAATGAAAACGTTCTAACAGTGGTGATGGTTATATTACTTGGTAAAGCTATTAAAAATCCAGTGACTGTAGGGACTTCCCTGGTGGTCCAGTGACAAGGACTCTGCGCTCCAATGCAGAGGGCCTGGGTTCGATCCCTGGTCAGAGAACTAGGTCCCACATGCTGCAACTAAGATCCAGCGTGGCCAAATAACAATTATTTTGTAAAACTCAAGAACTGTACATTTGAAATGGGTGAATTTTGTAATATGTAAAGTATGCCTTAATAAAGACATTGAAAACAATAAGTCAATGAAAAGGACCCAAGCTGGCAGAGGCCACGTGTGCTGGAGCTCCCTAAGAAGACTGCATGCAGAGGGGACAAGCGCGTCAGCACAGCAACTAGGCCCTGAGGACAGCTCGACTGGCACGGGTCCAGGAGGCGAGCAAGAGGGCACCAGGAACTCTTCCTAGCAGGTCACCGAGCCTGGACCATTCTCCAGCAGTAGGTGGTCTTCACAGGGAGCAGACCTCTGCATGGCAGGGGCACGACTGAGTGACCACCTCCCACAAGCCACAGATAACCTGCAGTGAGCCACGTGGACTCTGCTATTTCACTTTGGTGAGGCGCCTGAGGAGGCCTCCTAAGGAGCCTGGTCCCTCTTTTGGGTGCACAGCACCTGTTGAGTACCAGGCCCTTTTCACCTGCCTGCAGGGAGAGGCTCTTGGCACCCTCCTGGCTCTGGGGCACTCATGGGCAGCGGGGTGGGCAGGGCCACCTGGTTCATTCATAATCCACAGAGCGGCCATAGCCTGGATGCTGGCCCATGGCAGACAGGGCCGCCAGCATGCCAAGACAGGGCACATCCTCCCACAACACAGGGTTTGCAGAAATGCCAGCCAGTGGGTAGAGTCTCGTTAGCCCTCAGCCGGCAGAGCTGGGGAGCCACAGCCAAGCCAAGCCTCTCCTGCAGAGGTCACTGCACCAACCTTGGAGCCCACCTCTGCCTGGCCTTGCCTTCTCCCTGCTCGGAAGTAACTCCTCACTGGTGGTGACATTTCTTTCTCGGAGTCTGAGGCTGCTTGGAAGGGATGGTAGGCGGGAAACTGTTATCCCACTTTGAAGAGAATTTTAAGTCAAAACCACCCTTTGTACCTCAGGACTGGGGGCCCCTGCTCCCTGGTTCTCCATTACCCAGGGCGCAGCAAGGCCACTGGGTCCTTACCAGTACAGCCTGTGCCGCAGGTGCAGCCACCCAAGACCTGTCCATGGAGTCCAGTCCTGGGAGAAAGACGCAGCAGCCTTCCAGGTGCCTCCAGTCCTGCGTTTCTGCGCCACTATCCTCTCTGGCCTCTGACCTCCTGGCCTCGGGGCAGAAGGGCTTGGCAAGAACCCATAGGGTCTTGGGTGGGGGGGGCAGACGAGGGAGGGATGGCGGACGGTTGCCCTTCCCTGAGCCCAGGAGGCCCTGTGGAGGAGCTGGCCTCCACATAGCTTGTGCCTTTCTGCAGGGATGACCTTTGAGGAGCCTGAGGCCAAGGACACAGCAGCCCAAAACAGCCCTTCGCTCACAAGTCCTAGGTCAGCCCCGCAAGGCCCCCAGATGCTGGGTGGTCGAGGGTCACTCTGGGCCCCTCTGGTGAAGAGCCTGATGGTGTCCCCTGCAGTTCCCCCATCCACTGGCTGGGGCCAGGATGGGGGCCAGGCCTCCAGACCCAGCCTCTGTCCAGAGAGGGAACAAAGAAGTGGTCTGGGGTGTCTCCTCTTCCCCACTGAGTAGGGCCTGGGGTCCACCCAATGGGGTGAGTCACACAAGTGACTGAGTAACTGGCCCGCTGGTTACTCAACCCCCAACCCCAGGCCCCGGGCCTGCTGCCAAGAGAGGCCCCACTGAAGTGCCATAGGTGGAGGGCGCTGGAGCATGTGCACGCCCAGCAAGAACCAGCAGGGGACACTGCAAGCAGCGGGCCACAGAGGGAGGAGGGGCAGGACAGGGAGCCGCTGTCTCTGTACTGGTCACTGTCACATGGATGGGACAGCAGCTTGCAGAGGTGGCCCTGGTGTGACCAGCTGACATCACAGGGATGGGCAAACACGGTGTTCTTCCCAAGGCGATGCCTGAGGTCACAATGGCATTTGCCTGTTCCCACCAAAAGCACAGGAGCTGAAGCCCAGAATCATCAGACGAACCCCACGTAGGGACAGGCTACCAAGTGACTAGTGGGATCTTAAGGACCCCAGTGCTGGGACAGGCAGAGCCGGGCTGGGGGCGTTTGTGGGCAGAGGGAGCAGGGGATGAGGCGGCCCCGCCCCTAAGTTGTCATTTCCCTCACCGTGCCCTGGGTGCATAGATCAGGCCTTGGCCCCACAAGATAGGAGGCACACTGGGCCTTTCAGGGCACAGTTAGGGGCAACTGATGATCAGAGTATGAGCTCAACAAAACGGCCACAGCAAGCCAGTAGCCACGGGGATCTGGTGAAGGGCGCGAAGTGGCGTGCCAGCTGTCCCCCAGTGGTCACACCAGGAGCACACTGTGGGGTTCAGGCTGCCTGCTTCAGCAGCTGGCCGTCCCTCTCTGAGCCCGTCTGCACCAGAGGAGCACTGGGCCCTCCTCTGTTGGCGGCTGTGAAGACCTGTCAGGGAGGTAGTGGCCCCAGATGAAAAGGGAATTGTCCATTTCTCAGGGCAGCCTGCGGAGAAGGCAATGGCAACCCACTCCAGTACTCTTGCCTGGAGAATCCCATGGACGGAGGAGCCTGGTGGGCTACAGTCCATGGGGTTGCAGAAAGTCGGACACAACTGAGTGACTTCACTTTCATGCACTGGAGAAGGAAATGGCAACCCACGCCAGTGTTCTTGCCTGGACAATCCCAGGGATGGAGGAGCCTGGTGGGCTGCCGTCTATGGGGTCGCAGAGTTGGACACGACTGACGCGACTTAGCAGCAGCCGCAGCAGGGGAGCCTGAGTTGTATGTAGCACAAAGCCCTACCAGGTCAGCATGGTAGGAGCGGTCAGAGCCCTGGGCTGGGGTGGGGGCCACTGATGAAAGTCATACAGGTCCAGAGACCAGACAGGATTGGAGCAGCTGGGACGTGCAGGTGGCGTGTCTCAGTGGCTGCCAGTGGCCAGTGTTCCCTCTGCCAGCTCTGGGGCCAGGCCTGGCCCTTGGGAGACGGGCAGGCAGTCCTGCAACCAGAACGAGTGACAGCTGCCTGACAAGGCCGGGAACGTGGCTACCACTGCCCAGCGGGCCGAGCGGAGCAGGGGAGAATTCAGCAGGAGGTGAGGAAGGCCCCAGGTGCTGTTTCTGAGTCCCAGCGTCTGAAGGTGGAGACCCTTCTCAGCAGAACGTGGGCTGCCCGCCAGGCCCCACATAGGCCCTCTGCTGACCCCGGTGGAGAGGCCGGCCTGGCAGCTGCCAAGTGGCCTCTTCAGGCTTCTACCCTTTCCTCCACAGCCCGGATAGTAGGCTCAGAGCAGCCACCTGCGGGCACTGCAGGCTGCAGGACGGAAGAGTCCATCAGGAAGTACCCCTTCCGTGCACAGAGTCCCAGGTCTCAGACAACATGCTTATCAGAGCTCACCCACTCACCCAAAGGTCTGCACCCCGGGCCCGTGTCCTGCTCTGGGAGCCCCTCACACCAGGGCAAGGCCCAAAACTAAAAAGCAAGTGGCCCTGGGTCCGTCCATCCATGCCAGAACATCTTCAAGGGGCTATACACCCAGCCCCCAGATCTGCAGAGGCCCGTGGAGTGCCCACTGCCCCCCAGCTTGGTCGTCGTCTTAGGACAGACAGTGGGGGCCCCCGCCCCAGGAGAAGGGGCACCTCCCCAGACCCATCGCTCAAGTGCTGATGAAGGCACAGTGGTGTACTCCAAATACATTGGAGGCTTTATTGTCCCGGCAGAAAAGACAGAGCCAGGACCCACCCGCCTGACCCTGGGCTGTAGGGGACGCGCCCAGGCCTCTCCACTGTAGCCCTCAGCTGGGGAGCGTGGGTGTCAGGTGGCCAGTCCCGAGTGCCTGGGTGGACGGGGGCACAGCCCCACCGCCTGCTGCACGCATGTCTCCGCCTTCACAATGACACGTTGTACATGATGCCACTGCCTCTTGAGGCACCCCACCCCCAGGACTCTGGGCTCACACCCACACCCAGATCCTGCCTATGGCTGCCAGGCAGGTCCAGACCAGTGCTGAGACCCCTGCCTTGGGGCTGCCTGCCCCTGCCAGAGGCCAGTGACAGGATGGAAGATATGGCCAACAAGCCTGTTCCTGCAGGGAGTAGGGCGGGAGCAGGCAGCCAGGTGGGCGGGCCCCTGCTGCCAGCTGGGGCACCCCATGGGGCCTGGCTTCACAGAGAGACACCCAGAGGCCCGTGGGCAGCTCCTGCTGCAAAGCAGTCTCCCTAGAAGCGTCGACAGGAAGCCCTGTGTGACTCAGTGCCAGCGGCGCTGCTGCCCAGCTTCCTGGAACCGCTGGACCTGGCTGGGGGTCGGTGGTGGCTTGGACCCCAGACTGGCTGGCTGCTGCCCCACTGAGACAAGTTGGAAGGCACTGGGGACCCCAGGGGGCAGCCCCCAGGGAAGGAGACGCTTGGGGGCCAGAGTCTTGAGGTTACTTGAGTGCACCCATGACAGGGCGCGGTGCAGGGGAGCAGCCAGGACCTGCCGGCCCATCCTACTGGGAACGGGCAAAGCGGGCAGAGGCAGGGCTCTGCACACCCGTCCGGGTCTAGGGCAGGCCCAGGGGCCAGTGGGACCAGGTGAACTATGCCATCACAACAGGTCAGCAGGATGCCCTGAGGCGGAGGTGATGGTGCTGAAGCTGGGCACTGGCCTGGCTGACCGCGTGCATCCCCCTGCTCACCACCCCCAGGACCAGAGTCGGGCGGAGATGCAACAGGCGGGGCCTGCAGAGGCCCTGACAACCAGGGGGAGCAAGAGGTGTGTGCCGCCCTGACAACTGGCAAGTGGCGGTGCGAGGTGGGCCGGGGGCCGGGCCCTCAGTCCTGCTTGTCCCCTCTCTGCCTCCAGGGGTAGATGAGCTCCCCGAAGAACAGCTTGCGGCACAGGGAGCCCCAGGAGTGCTTGGGATGGCAGCCACAGCTGGGGAGGCGGTAGGTGCGCACCACGTGGCTGAAGGGCAGGGGGTTTATCTGGAAGCACAAGGGCAGCGATCAGCCAGGACGTGGCCCCCAACCCCCTGGGACTTCCTTTCCAGGCCTCGCAGGCTGTCCTGGGGGTCCCTGGACTGGACAACCGAAGGGCAGGGCCAGCTCCAAGCTAGACACAATCTCGCCAGGGCACGTGGGTTGGGGCGGGCAGCTCGGGAGGCAGGCCTGGGCCTCAGTCAGCAGTGCTCTGCTCTGGCCTGGCTGCGGGGGCCTGGCTGCAGGGGCCCACTGCAGGACTCACTCGACTCATAGGAGCCTCCCCAGAAAACCACACAGGCTCCTCAGCCTCTGAACTCTCCTCTCAGGCCAGCCTGGCTGCCTGCAGTCAACAGGGCCTTCTGCACCTCCGGCAACTGGTCCACAGCCCCAACAGGACAGGCCCTGACCCAACAGGGCCGGCCTGTGCAAAGTCTCTGCTACTGTGCCTGGAGATGGAGCCCTGGTCCAGGGCAGAAGACAGGGATGCAGGGCCCAGCAGGCTGGAGCCTGGGTACCCCAGGGTGTCTGGCACACCACAGAGACTCCACACTGGGGGAGGGCCCAGGCAGAGAGGGGGTCACGGCGCCCAAAGGCCTTGAGGGCAGGAGAGTCTCCCCAGGGCCCCTGAGGCCCCCACCAGGGGGAGCAGAGAACATGCCCCGGACAGGGGGCCTCACGGTGGGAGGGGCGCCTGTCCACGGGCAGCAACGCAAGGGCCGCGGGGAGGCCTCACCTGCATCAGGAGGCGCAGGGGCCGGCCAGCCTCGTGCTCCAGGACCCGGAACTTCACGCCGGCTGCGAGGAGAGCGAGGCCTGGTGAAGGAGGGCAGTCCCCACACTGCGCCCCTCGGAGGGCTGCCGGCTGTGGGCAGCAGCCGCCTCTCCAGTCCCGTCCACCATCCGCCCCTCACCAGAGCTCCGGCAGAACCACACTGAGACCAAAGTCCTGGGTCTGCAGGCAAGGAAGAGCCAGCAGGCTGTGCTGCCCTGTGAGCAGGACAGGGGTTCCCGAGAGTGGACAAGGCACCCGCTGGGCGGTGGGCACCCTGCTCATCTCAGTGCCTTCCAGCATGGCTGACTCGGGGACCCACCACACTCTGGCCTGCAGTGTGGGCTCCCACGCCTGGGGATCCCCAAGGTGGAAGGTTCTTAAAAGGAGAAACAAGAGCTAATTATCAATTGATGAAGAGGCCCCAAGGCAACACAGTGGAGAGAAGAGGCAGCATCTTTCCTGTGAAGTTAAAAGGACCGTGCAGGCCTGAGCGCGGGTGGGACCAGGGAGGAGTTGGGTCCGGGGGCTGAGGTGTGGTGGGGCTGGGGGAGCCTGGGCCACCTGGGGGTTAGCGGAGGAAGCTCTTGGAAAGAGGGTTTAAGGATGTCCGGTGGGCAGATTCAAGGCCCAAAGCCCACAAACACACACATTCGTGTCTCCTGACTCCAAACTGGCTGTGAGCAGCCACCACGGGCTATGGGGTGGGCTGAGCTGCGGGCTGCAAACCAGCCCAGGGCCTCCTGGGCACACTGGTCACCTGGGGGCCACGCCAGGAACCCCCAGGTTCCTCGACTGTTCAAAGACCCTGCACTGGGTGGGCTGGACCACAACTCTGACCAGTCGGGTCAGGCCTCCCTAGGCCTGCAGTGGGGACAGCCTCCTGTCAGGGGCATCTGGCCAACCTGTGGCTGGTGTCAGCGTGCAAACAGGGGCCTCTGAATGCAGGGGGGCCAGCAGGGGTGGCTGGGCTGGCCAGCGTGGCCCCGGCAGGAGGCAGTCTTCTGGGGGGCCAGCTCCCAGTGGAGGGGCGCCAACAGGCACACACCCTCACAGCCACAGGGGACGTCTCTCTCTGAACCACACACAGGCGCTGCCCACACTACACTGCAGACACGCTTCCAAGCAAACTGCACACTCATCACAGGAAAGACTCAGGAGGCAAGAGGGCTGTGCCTGCGGCCTCCGAACCTGAAGGCGGAGCTCCCCCTGCAGCTCACCCCTGGAACCAGGGCCCTGTGCTCCCTGCCTGCCCACGGCACACACCGCGGCTTTCAGGGCCCCTGGGCATGCCTCCCACCCAGCACGCAGACCTACCCGCGAGCCTGTAGGGCCGGCACAGCCGGAGGCCGAGCGAGTACAGCGGCAGCGAGTTGATGAGGTCCACGAGCAGATGGACCAAGCCCTGCACGGTGACCACCAGGAGCCGGAGCTGCAGCACAGACAGCGCTCAGGGCCTTGAGCCTGGGACCGTGGCCAGAGCCACGCTGTACAGGCCTGAGCCGAGCAGCCTGACGGGTCCCCGGGGGGGGGTGGTGGGGGAGGGCAGGAAACCCCCTCCCGCTCAGTCAGAAGATGGGGCACTCCAACCCAGGGACACACGCCACTGGCCCCTCGGCCCGGCCACCCGGGTACCACGCCCCTCCCGCACCACGGAGAACCCTGCCCTCCATGCATCCAGTGGCATGTCCTGGGGCAGTAGGGGGTGGTACCCCCCAGGGTGGACCCCTGCCCGCTCCAGGGCCCAGTACACGGAGTCCTGAACAGCCACCCTCTGCTGTGGCCAGCACGGGTGGGTGGCCTGCCCACAGCTGCCCGCTGGCAGGCAGAGCTGGCAGTTAACCACGAGCACTGTGGGCCAGGCCCTGGACGTGGCGCTTGGCTCACCAGGGTGAACACCAGGTAGTACAGGGCCGTGGTGGGCAGCAGAAAGATCAGGATGGTGAAGAGCAAGGTCCCGATGAACAGCTATGAGGAGAGAGGACGCCAGCGTCAGCGTCAGCGAGAGCCCCGTGCTGGGGGTGCCCCTGCCTGCACTGACCACAGCCCCTCCGCCCGTCCAGAGATGGAGCACCCGCCGGCTGCCTGACGCCGCTGGGGACAGCCCTCCCCAGTCCTGGGAGTGACACCTGCTCTCCAGACCTGGTGAAACAAGGGCAGAGAGCGGGCAGAGACAGGATCAGCTGAGTGGTGTGCAGCCCATACACTAGATAGGAGGGGGGTGGTGAAAATTAGGCAGGAAAGAATACCGGAGGGCAGCACTCAGGATCCCCATGGCAGGTGTGGACAAGCTAACAGGACAAGCCAGGCCCCATGTGCACGCACCTCCAGCACCTGCTGCCCTGCAGCCTCCCGGAGCAGGGTCTGTCCCTGCCTGCGGCGAGTTCTGCCCCGTCGTGGCCCCGCGTACACCCTGCCCCTTGCAGCTCCCTGCACCCCTGGGGCCTGCAGAGCAGAAGCAAGGCTGCCCCTCATGATGCCTGAGCCGCTGCATGTGCCGATGCAGGCCGAAGGTCAGCTGGATGGAGCTGGTACCTGGTCCAGGTCGTAGGAGCAGGAGTCCACGCGCTGGCGCAGAACATTCCACTTCTTCCCTCGGAACAGGCGCCACAGCGAGGACAGGCCATGGATCTTCAGGCAGTAGAGCCTGCAGACCATGGCCGTCAGGGTGGGGGCCGCTCCATGCCCGCCCGGCCTGGGAGTCCATCTGTGCCCAGGGCCCAGGGCTGCACGCGGCAGCCTGCGGGGTGGGGCGCACACCCACCTGGCGCCATAGACGTAGAAGCAGTAGATGTGGAAGGTGAGAAGGGAAATGATGTCCGACAGGATGGACAGGGCGACCGTCAAGCCCAGGCAGGCTGAGAGACCCAAGTGCCACAGGATGTGCTCGATGAACGGTGACATGAGGTGGATGTAGCCTAGTGGGACGGGGTCACCTTTGAGGGGCGCCCGGGGTCCTGCAGCCCCCAGTCCTCCCTGAGGACGGCGGCCTGAGGCATGGCCCAGCTCCAAACACGGGGTGCTGGGCCGACAGGAAGCAGAGGCCAAGGGGCCCCACTGCCCCCTCGGCTGGGCCTCTGTCCCCAGGGCACGCACCGCGGGGCTGGCGTGCACTCACTGATCCAGAGGTGGATGTGGTACAGAAAGAAGCGGCCCAGCACCTGGTCCAACGCCCGGTTCATCTTGAGCCCGGCAGGCGCACCCATCAACCACTGCAGCAGATGCTGGAGCTCCTCGGCCACACGCTGCAAAGACGGGGGTGTCACCCAGTGACCCGCCTGGGGACCCTACATGAGCCTGAGGGGGTCAAGCCCATCAAGGGCCCACGAGCCAGGTGGGGGCGGAGTGGCTGGAGGGTCCCACAGGGAGAAGAATGAGGGGTGAGGGTCCAGCATGGGGCCTCACAAAGAGCAAGTAAGCCGAACCCCGTCCCGGCCGCCCCAGGAGGAGAGCGGTGCCAGTGCGGCGGGCGGGCCCTCAGGTCTGGGCCTTGGCACCCACGGGGGGGCCACAGGCGCCCTGTCCCTGCCCTGTCTTCCAGCCCCTCCCGCCTCCATGCAGGCCTCTCCCAGCCCTGGGTGACGGCCTCTGCCACGTCTGGGGCAGTGAGAAGGGAAAAGAGTGTTCTTTATAAATAGAGCTTATTTAATATTTAAAGGGTAAGAGCTTGGCAGTAGGAAGAGGCTTTCATTTTTAAATTAAATATTTATATTTCTGAGCAATTCTGCAGAAAAGAGGCCTAGGATAAAACTGGCCAAAAGGCAGAGCGCGGATGAAACAGGCGGAGTGACCGAGCCCCCTCCCCAGCCCCCAGGCCCCCCTCCTCCCTCTCAGGCCAGGCCTCCCTTAGAAGCTACGGGACTCGCCTGAGGGCTCCTGGCCACCAACAGGTCCAGTGCCCACCTGTGACTGGACACCAACGATAGCAGGAATGGCTGAGCCCACAAGCACACTGCAGCCAGACCTGAGTGTCTTGCAGCCAGGCCAAGAGGGCATGGGTGGGGACCGGTGCTGGGGGCTGCCCTAGGCAAAAAGGCAAGCTCCCGATAAAAGCGCAGAGATGGCAGAGAGGAGGAGGGCTCAGAGCCAGTGTGGACGGACAGCGGGTGGGCGGCTGTGGTCGGGAGAGGAGGCCGGGGCCTGTGGCCCTCGGTGCAGGAGCCGCAGAACTGGTGCGGGGGGGCAGGTGGGAGGCTGAGCGTGCCACAGAGAGAGCAGCCTGGAGGCACAGGGTCTCCGTGACGCTGATCCGCTGACCGTGCAGAGGCCCAGGCTGATGGCCAGGAGAGCAGAAACGACTATGCACAGTGGGGCCACAGGGCGCTGGGGCCTGAGCCTGGCAGGCAGGCGGCGCCCCTGCAAAGCCCGGACAGGGGCTGCAGATGGCACCATCAGGACGGCAGGGCGGCCCTGCTACAGGGCCCGTGTCTGTGCAGCCCCACAAGTCCCACGGGACATGGGCTCAGAGGGGGCCGGGCGGGCCTGCAGTGAGCTACCCCAGGAAGTGCCCGCCCCACCCCCGGGAAGCAGGTACTGGAGAGCAGCTGGGGCCCTCCTGCCGACTCACGTCAGCCACGGGGACGAGCGCCTCGGCCAGCTGCGCAAAGCGGTCCTTCCTGTGCAGCCAGGACAGCAGCAGGAGGCCCAGGGCCATGTCGAGCAGCACGGAGACCAGCGTGTTGGCCTTCCTGGAAGCGGGTTCAGCGGGCGTGAGCGTGCGGGCGGCCGCGGGGGTCAGTGGGGGCAGGGGGTCCGTGGCGCCCGCACCTCATCAGCTGGGCGGGGCCCTCGGCCCTGTGGGTGCTGACGATGAGCGCAAGCTGGTCCAGCCGGTGCCTGAGCTGCTCGCAGGTGGACAGCTTGCTCCAGATGAAGGACAGCGGCCACAGCCGGAACACCCTGTGAGGGACGGAGGCGATGGGCCTTCGGGGCCTCTGGTTTCCCTGTGCTGGGGCTGCTGCAGCCACAGCCACTACCCCTAGACGTGCAGAGAGAAAAGGCCCTGGTGGCCCCAAACACCCATGGCCATACTGCTGAACACCGTGGGCTGCGGACACAGGAGAGGGCCCTGGTGGGCAGCCCAGTGGGGGTGGCAGTCGCTCATGACTGTCAACTGGGAACACGAGGTGCTGACTCCAGGCACTGAAGCTGAGCACCTGCCGGACGGATGACCGTGTCAAGAGTCAAACCCAGCAAAACTGACCTCTCACGCGGCAAAGGAAGCACCAGACGCTTCACAGACCTGCAGACGTGTTCTCAAGCAAAGGTTAACAAAGCTTCCAATGGCAACTCAGCACTGACTCTGGGGTAACCCAGAGCCCTGCTGTTGGCCAGAGGGGCCGACAGGGCGCCTGCCAAGAGCAGGGCCGCCAAACGAGCACGCTCAGGCCCCCGGGGGGTAGGAGGCCTTGACCCTGCAGGTTTAGACTTTGACCCAGCTCCCAAAGAGAAATGCGGTCAGCACACCCCTGTTCCACCCAGTGGAAGGCAGGTGATGGCAGGGTCTTGCCAAGGCCAAGGCCAGCCCTGGGCAGCACCCCAGGGCTTCGCTCCTGCAGCCACAGCCATACCTCACACTGATGTCCTGGGGCTCCTGACAGCCACCAAGGACTAGCACCTGCCTCTGGGGCTTTGGGACTAGGAGCACGCGAGCAACTCATGGCCGTTCTTGCATTTTTTGAAAGCCAACAAAAGCAAAGGACCTTCTCTTTCCAAAAATGCCACCAGGCAAGCCCAGACACTTTCACGTGACTTATTTCAAGGAGTCATGAAGTTCTGGAACCCACCCCACAAGCCAAGACACTAGCAGTCCCCATAACCTAAGGTGCTGCCCATACACAGCTGCTGAGGTCTCTCTGTGGGGACAGGGCCACATTCCCCCAGAGCCTCTGTGGAGTCGGCAAGGCCCGTCCCCAGACCTGAGGCCAAACCCCTCAATCTGGGGTGCAGCACAGCTGCTCTGCACCCAGTGGTGCCTCTGGGGGGCTTCTCACAGGGAGAGGGCCCGCAGCCAGAAGTGCTCTGGTGAACCCCAAGACCAGCCCCCAGCGGACAGCAAGGGGCTACTACCCACAGCCTCCTGGGGCGGCCACTCCTGCAGCGCCAGGGAAGGGGGTGGGCAAGTGCCGGGGGACCAACAGGGGGCCCTGTGCGGAACATCCTGGCTCTCCCATCACCTAAGTTCCCTGTCGGGGCCTGAGCTGTCTGAGGGTCACCACATCCCCTACCCAGCGGGTCCCAGGCAACCACCAAGGCTGCCGGGAAGCCTGGCTTTACCCTGAGCAAGATGCACCAGGAGAGCAGCCCCCAGCAGGGACGGGGCACAGGATAAGAGCTGGGGTGCAGGGGCAGCATGGGCCTCAGAAGGGCCCATCTGGCCTGTGAGCCCAACCCATCTGCCCCGCCCCGGGGGCACCTACCGACAGGCGCTGGCAGTGGAGACCAGTGACAGCAGACAGGCTAGCAGCAGGCAGACGGGCCCCGCCGCGCGCTTGGCCAGCTCCACGAGGATGCTGGCCTCCATGCCCTCCGACTGCCAGTGCGTCAGCCGCACGGGGCCCTCATCGAACCGGTCACTTTGGAAGAGCACCTCGCTCCGTGCCACTGTGTCAAAGACGGCAGCCAGGCCACCCGCGCTGGCCGTGGCGTCCCCAGCCTGGCGCTCGGGCAGGGCCGCGGGCGGGTGCAGCTGCGACAGCAGCACCTTGCGCTGGTCGTAGAAGATGAGCATGACCTGGTCCTCACAGGCGGGGGCGAGGGGGGCGGGCCCCTGCCGGCGGGTGGCCTTGCAGCTCCAGGACTTGCTGCCCCTCTCCCGACACAGCTGCAGCCAGGGTTCGTGGGAGAAGAGGGCGCCCAGGCCCTCCAGGAAGGGGCCCAGGCTCTCCTCCGGCTCCTGCCGGCGGTGGCACCAGGTGCCCAGCACGGCCACGCCCACCCGGCTGGCCTGCTGCACCTGGGCCAGGAGCTCCTTGACCTGGACGGGGATGAAGGGAAAGTGTACCACAGCCAGGACCACGGCACTGCTCTGCTCCGGGACCCACCGTCCCACCAGGAGGCCGCTGTCCGCCGAGGCGCAGCACGTGGGGAAGAAGGCCGTGAGCACCATGCCGGGGTAGCTGGAAGAGAGGAGGGCTCAGCTCAGAGCCGCTGCCGCCCCGTAAGGGCCCAGGGTGCCTGCCAGTGCCGTAGAGACAGGCTCTGGCCACAGCTCGTGGCTCCGACGACCCTCTCAGACACGTCCGTGTGGCCACTGGGCCCACAGGTGGGGGCGACCCGGCTTCGTGTCTGGTCAGGAGGCTGGCGAGGGAGCCCCCAGCTGCCCATCTCTGCCCTGGGCTGCAGTGAGCTCAGGCCCAGGCCACGCCCACCCCACCCAGAGGCGGGGCCAGGCTTCCCTCCTCCGGACACAAGCACTTGAAAAAGGCGGGGTCACAGCCTACAGGGCTGAGTACAGGGCTCAATTCTTGTTTTTAAAGAACTGATTAGTTTTTGAAGTGCAGCACAAGGGAAAATCTACAATCTCATTAACAATTAAAGTAATTTAAACATCTCGAAGCTTGACTTACTAAGCTAGCAAGAACAAAGATGGGACACCTAAACGAATTACTGCTGAGCTAAGGAAAGTGAGGCTCGAGTCCACTGCTGGCAGCTGTGAGCCTTGGTGTGGGGGCCCCAGAAGATGCCTGGGCACATGCCTGGTGCCCCAGTGACCCCCAGGGGAGCCTCAGTGCTCAGGCTGGGAGCCACCGGCATCCACCCTGCCCCAGCCTCCAACTCAGGGGCCCACCTCTCCCTGGGGCCCCACCCTCTTGTCACAGCTGAGCACCTCCCTCAGGACCTCCCCCCGCCCCCACCCCCGCAGGCCCTAGAGGTGGGGGTGGGTCTCCCCAGCCCTCCCAGCCTTCACATGATCCTGAGTAGCAAGAACCTCCCCAGTAGGCCGTGCTTTCTGAGTCCTACAGGGCTGCAAGAGGGCCTGGCGGGCAGGAGCTTCGCCTTGGTGAGGGCTTGCTGGGGCTCCGGCCCTCTCCCAGACACAAACGACCCCACAGTCAGCACAAAGCGCAGAGCAGCGGCGCCGAGCTAAGACCCTGGAGTAGGAGGGACACAGGCCTCCCCCTGAGCCTGGCCCTCCAGGCCCCAGGGCTCACCAGGCCCTCTGGAACAGGGGGACAGCGAGGCTGAGGAGGTGTGACTTTGAGGGAGCCCTTTCCTGAGGGTTGGGGGGCTCTGGAGGGGGCCTCACACACCCAGGACTTAACCCCAGGCAACTGGGGCAGCTACTTTCCTCCACTCCACGGCGCCCAGAGCGGGCTGGAGGGAGAGGCCTCTCCCACTTGTGGGTTCTGACTGAAAGGGTCCCCCTGAGTCCAACAGCAGCCAGACTCCCAAATGCCCCTCCCTGCAGAGATCAGAGACAGCAAGCAACATGGTGTCTGCAGGGAAACCTGGAGCCCAAAGGCAGCCCTGGGCCAAGTGCCTGTGGCCACTGGCAGGGGCATCAAGGACTGCCCTGTCTCCTGACACCTGTCAAGGGCATCATGAAAGGGACAGAGGCATTCTGTGTGTCAGAGTCCCGCCAATGCATGTTGACCACCATCAGGGAACAGCCAGCACAGCCCAAGCCTCTCAGCACCAGCCAGTTGCAACCACCAGGTCGGCCAAATGACAGGATCACGGCCCCCTGTTTGGGGACTCCTCTCACAGGAGCTAAGGAAAACCGCCCAGAGCTACTGTCAGAAGACAAACACACTTGGCCTAAGAGGGAGCAGATGCTCTGGGCAAAGCTAGTTACACGGTGGGTTCACTTGCAGAAAATTCATCGAGCTGTACACATACGATCTGTGCACTTTGTGTGTTTTATGCTTCATCTACAAAGTTTACCTAAAAAAAAAAAACAAAGAAAGGGGAAGAAGAGCTTCTCATGTCTGGGGAAGGCAGCAGAGGGCATATGGTGGTGTTCCCATCTGTGGGGCAGTAAGAAAGAACTCTTAAATCTAGGAGCAAGTTTCCATCCCCACCCCCACTTCAGCCTCTGGGAGTGACCAACACAAAGAAGTCTGCTCAGATCAGACAGCCAGAAAAAGATGAAAGAGCTGGCAATCGATAGCAGAGGTGCAGACGGGAGAAAGCGGGGCAACTCGGCACCGTGTGCATCTTTAAAGACTGCGATAAAGACAAGGGCACAAGCCCGGGAAAGCTGCCTGCTACTAGGACACCAGGTGCCCTGTGACTCAGCCCACCATCCCAGGTCAGGCAACAGTCTGTGGGACACCCCTCTCCACGGGACCTGAACTCAACCATCTGCCTTGTGAAGTCCGCGGTCTGTCGTCCTCCGCCAGAACTGATTCAAGGCAAACGCCCAGTTATGACTGGCCAGAACCCCTCACTGCCTAAAACCATCCTCTGGGGAGTCTCCTGATCACTGCCCTTGGTAGCTCACAAGAATTCCTTGTTACTCCTTATGTCTGTGTTTAAAAACAACAAGGATTGCGTTTAAAGAGGGCTTTCCCCCTCTCTTTTCAGAAGAAAGGACACGAATCCAGGGCTCTAGGTTTTGGACTGTACCTCAATCAGGGACGACAGTACAGCGCTGATGGCCGGTCCCCTTGACCCCTTGACGCCGGGTCCACGGCGGGACCGGGTGGGGCGGGCCAGAGGGCACCGGCCGGCCGCCCCTCACCCCACAGGGCCGGGCTCCAGACGCCCAGCCAGAGCGCCCCCGCGGCCCGCCGCGAATCCGGCGTCGCTGGGCTGCGCGGCCGCAGCGCCTCCCGTCCCAGGCCCGCCCCGGCTGGCCTCCGGTGGCGCCCCTACTTTACGGCTGAGAAGCAGGGGCTCCGAGAGGTAAGAGGCCCGCGTCGGCTCCGGAGGCCCCCGGGCTCCCCGGCCGCCGCGGCGAGGCCTGGGCGCACAGCCCGGCTGGGCGGGCCCCCAAGGTCGCGCCCCAAGGCCGCCGGCCTCCCCCGCGGTGCTCACCGGGGCCGCGCACTGGGCCGGCGGGGTCCGGCTGGGGTCGGGAACCGCGGCGGGCGGGCCCGGGCGAGCGGCGGCGCTCCAGGACCCCAGCGCAGCCGCGGCCGCGCCGCGGGACACGCGCCCCATTTCCGCCCGCTCCCGGCGTTGCCGCGCGACGGTCCGCCGCACAGGCGCCCGGGCTGCCCGCTGGCCCCCGCCGGAGCGTTCCGCGCACGCAACGTTCCGGCCCTGGAGCCAGCGGCCGACCCGCGCCGTGCCTCGGTCCCTCCCGCGGCCTTGTCTCCCCACCCGCTATGCCCAAGGACCTTGTCCCCGTCGCAGCGCTACTGTCCCCCCCGGTCTACCTACAGTGTCCCCCAAACCCCTGCCTTCCAGTCCCCCACCACGGTGGCCAGACCTCCCCTGTCCCTGGTTTCCTACCCTGAGGGCTCCAGACCCCACCTTGCCCCATCACCGCGGGGTTAAAGGACCCCCCAGGCTCCGGAGCGGGTGGGGCGCCGGGGGTCCCAGAAGAAACTGCCTCTCCAGCCCCGGGCTGGCCCCCTTGCACTCTGCTCCCTGCAGAGGCCAAGTGATCCCTGAGGTTGCAGGACCAGTCCAGAGGGTGAAGCCATCTGGGGTGGGGGTTGGGGGCGCCCCTGGCCCCCTCTTCTCCAGGGAACAAGACCTCTAACTCAGCAGTAGCCGTCAGCGTTGACGCAGCACCTGTTCCCTGCACTTCCTTGCTCTGACCCACTTAATCCAGGCCCATGCTCTCAGGAGCCAGGACACATGGAGGGACCCTTGAGACCACCCCCTCACCGCGCCTGGGGCCAGACTAGGCGTGGCCTGCCCCCCAGGACCCCTGAGGGAGGTGGGAGCCTGGCTGGGCCCAGATTCAGAGGAACCCCACTCGTCCGCACCCCCAGCCTGGTTTTCCTGTCTGCTCACAGGAAGGTTCTCCTGCTCTTGACCACTGCCAGGGACTCTCCCCCCACCCATGAGCCTGAGCTGTTTGGTCCAGCTCCAGGAGGTCAGACAGTCTCACGTGGGCCCAGAGCATGGAGGCTGGTAACCCGCCGTGTGTCACCCCAGGGCGCGTCCAGGTGGCCCGTCCTCTGCTTCCCCCTTACCTCAGCTGGGCCCAGAGAAGCTGCAGCAGTCTGGGCACCCAAGGCGTCTCTGAAAACAGGGGACAGTGAGGAGCCGCACCCCTGCCCAGCCCAGCCCAGCCCAGCCACACCCACCCTGCCTGCCTCCCTCTGATTAGGAGGCTGGGGCTGGAGCACTGAATGGAGAGCCGGCCCGGGTAAGTGCTGGCGGCTGGCCCAACAGGCCGGAGACCTCCAGTCTTCAGCTGCTGCCCCAAAGCGCAGGCCTCCTGGGCCCTGGGGGCTGGAGGCAACTGATTCCAGCTGCCCCCTGAATCTGAATCCTCCCCAGGAGAAGGAGAGGAGACCAGGCCAGGGCCCGGTATGACGTGGCTGAGGACTGTCTGCAAATGTGCAGGGTCAGGAGGGCGAGGCCCATGGCCCAGGAGAACCCTGAGAACCCTGAACGTTTCTCCCATCATGGTCCAGGTCTGGGGGGCTACGCCACGCACAGAGAGGGGCGTTCCGGTTCAAGCCCACGGTATCAGGCCAACTCCAGGTGGGACTGGTACACTTTGATGTCGCCGTCCTCTGCGTCTGCCACCAGCAGCTGGCCCTGGGGCCCACAGGCCACACCCAGGGGTCGCCTCAGCCCCTCGGAAACCAGGCAAATGGGCGCCCTGACCTGGGGGAACAGGGTCACCTGGCGCCGCCGCTGGTCCGCCACAATGACACCGCCCGCTGCGTCGGTGCACACACCTGCTGGGCTGCCAAAGGGGTGCCCGGTCAGGTCCCCCAGGGAGCCCAGGGGCTGGCGGGCACTGCCAAACAGCCGCACATCCCCAAACTCCTCGCTCACTGCCAGGCCCCCGTCGGGCCCCAGGCCCACCCAGCAGGGGCCCTCCAGGCCCAGCAGGGAGGCGGGGGCCAGTGGTGCCAAGTCAGGGCCCAGTGTGAAGCTGTGCACAGCCCCAGGCACATAGTCTGTCACTGAGAGGCGGCCGAAGGCATCTACAGCCAGCCCCCGGGGGGCAGAGAAGGAGCCCACCGTCACCCA